TATTAATCTACTACCAAGTCCTAGAATCAAATAATCTAGCCACTCATGTTCAAATTCAAATACATAGACATATTAGAAATCGACTTGATAAATAAAAGTTCAAAAGAAAGAAGAAAGAAAAACTAGGAATCTCGTCGATCTCTCAATCTCCTTGATTCCTTCATAGTTAGATCTTCTTTTTGCTTCCCAATTGCTTCTCTTGTGTGTTCTAGGGCCTCCTCCTAGTGTATCCCACGTTCTTCCTCTCAAAATAGGGTGAATATGCCTTTTATAATGTCCAAAACCCTTATCCTTTTCAAAATAGGCAAGAAATAAAAACCAGCCTGCGCGCGCGACACAAATTCCCGTGTCACCATCCGTGTCGCAGCCCGTGTCAGGTGCTTGGGCATCGAAATCTCTCTGTTGATGTGACACGGCCTCTGACACGGGCATCATGCCCGTGTCCCGTGTCAGCTCTGCACACTCATTTTCTTGCTTGTTTCACTTGTTTCTTCTATTTCTTTCATCCGTGCATCAATCTTTCATCATCCCCGGGGTCTTAGGTACTCACCATGCGCCTCCAATAGCCACAAGCTCTACAAATATGTGAAAATATCTACAAAATTAGCACGTGTATTACCTTTTCAACAAGATATAGAATTATGGCACAATAATGCAATTTATACACCAATAATGCAATGAATAAGCTCTAGATACTATATAAATATGGTGTAAAATCACATATGAACAAACTCCCAAACTTAAACCATTGATAGTCCCAATCAATGCATCAAACTCCTACCAACAACCACGAAAAGACAATCACAACTCTCAAAGTCAATCATACACATTCTCAATAGGCATCGGGCAAATAACATAACCAAGTTCCAAAATTTTTAAACATAAAGAATGCTTCATCAAAATTATGGTCAATACTTTAATCTACAAACCTCACCAGGTAAGTGTATACTCTCATTCTCAAAAGTGTATAGGGAATAATTGCTCAAGTCAATTCAATGTTGAAGAATTACCATATGCTTGCAAATCATCCACTATCTCCACCACTTATTATGCATGCAATTCATGAATAAAAAAGGACTTTTTATTTGGTTATAATGTAGGCTCTTTGGTTAAGGTATGAAAAATATGGATAAAGTGACGAAAACTTGAGCATCTAGAACTACAAAACATGAACTTCACAACGTCATCACCTATTAATCGAGATCAAGCTCAAAACAACTTATCTCATACCCCATTTCAATCAATACTGGCAAGCCATATATGAAACTCTAAAATCCAACCAAACCGCCTTTATTTGAGTCAAGGCTAAAATATACGATTACATATACTTATATTTTTTTTTTCAGATTTTTTTCTCATTTTTTTTTCAGTTTTTTTTCTTTCTTTTTTTTTTCGACTCTATCAACCTCATTCAACTTACAACATCAATTATACCCCCGTTCACTTCTTCCCTTTATCCACACCACAACAAAACACTCATCCTATTCACATGATATAATCCTAAATGCTCAAGTAAAGGACAAGAAAAATATATAGATATAGCTCAATATGTGACATTCAAACAAAATAGGCAAAAGCTCAAAAGGGTTAAATAGGAAATGAAAATATCATTTGGTAAGTTAAACCGGTCAAAAGGCTCAAACAAAAATATGCCTTAGATCATTTTCACAAAAATGCACACACCATGTGGTCTCGATAAAGATACCAATGCAAGTTCTAGAATTCCAACAACAATGAACGATACACTCAATAAAAAAAAAAATAAATAAATAAAAGGCTCAAAAGCTCACAAAGGATCATATATTCATGAATTAAAAGCATCAACCAATCATTCAAATTCACAATTCCATCAATTATCAAATTCCATCACTCTGCACATTATGCCCGAATTCTATATCAAATATGCACAAGAAACTCATCAAGGTGAATCAGAGTCAATCAACTACAACTACTCAAATCCTAAGAAAGCAATAACGTGCTAAAGCAATAAAACCTAACGTGCAACTAAATGATATGCAAGATAATGCAAGATATCATATTATCTTCTCTCTAAAATTCTCAAATCAAAATATCACACCTCCCCCCCAAACTTGAATGAAATTATACGAAGAACAAAAGGGAAGAATAGAATTTCAATAAAAGTAAAATAAAGATGACTTACAAAACATCATTGGAAAGATGACAAATTGGTATAGATCTTGAAGCATATTCTTCGTCATTCAGATCTCTCCATGTAAAGTTCTGCAAGGAAGAAAAACAAAATATCATACAAACAAAAATATAACTAACTAACATTGGGTTGCCTCCCAACAAGCGCTAAGTTTAACGTCTTCAGCCAGACGAGAATGTTCATTAGGGAACTCTAAATAATGATTTTTATGATCTTCTCATCCTTTTAATTTTGACTTTCTCCCAGTAGGGACTCAATCCAAAAGAGAGCATCATGTTCTTTTCATGTTAACCAAGTTTGGCATCACTGTCGCTCTCAAACTGAATGACAAAGACTTCAACCTCCTCATCATACGGAATAACAAATTCAATCTTTAAACATTCAGAATCGAAGAACGTCTATTGAATCATCCCTTCAGTGAGACTATCTGTGGGGATTTAACTTCAAAGATGACATCCTTCTCTTCTTCATGTTCTTCGACTGCGATAGAAATTTCTGGCGCACTATCTATTGACAAAACGCATGGAGGAATGCAATCGAGCTCTTCTTATGATATAGGAGCTAAACCAGAAAAGGGACACTTTCCCGGTGTGTGACAACATCAAACCACATTCATCACACCCAATGCCTCTCTCCTCGAGTTCTCTCCTACGACGCTTTGAGTCCAACTCAACCTTTTTAATTTCTTTCAACTGATAGATCAAACACTCCTCATACCAATTTTTATCTTCTTCAGAATATTTGGGATCTTTGTGCCAGTCATAGTCTATCGCATCCTCATCCATCATTAACAATATGTTAGCAAGAAATACAAAAAAATGTCTAAATTAAAACCAACACTATCTATCATAATATTGTTGGGTTCGCTATACCGTACGGGATAAAACGCAACAGAAATAAATCGAAATAAATAAGCATTTAACTAATAAATACTAAACCCCTCGGTGAAAATAGCGATTGTTACGATCGGCATATTTTAAAATCACGTAAAAATACGAATTTTGATTTATAGAGAATTTAAAAAATTACCTTTAATTTTCTTCAAATAGCGATGATGAAGAGGAAATCAATTCTTGGTTATGTGGCTATCACCGTCTTCGTGTGTCTCACAATAAGGGATCCAAGTGTCTCCCCTCTAATCGAGTCCACCTTTTGGATTCTAATTCCGAGAACAATTTCTTTGCTAGTAGAAATTTTCCAGAATTGAATTGGTATTTTGGAATCAAATAAAAGAGGAAATATTTTATTTTATTTTTTTATTTTCTCAAAATAACCAAGAACAACTCTTGTTCTTTCAAAATAACATGGGAGAGTTTGATTCATTTCTCATAAATAAATTCTCAATCTCGTGAATGAATTCAATATATGTACATCAAACGTACATTATATAGATATATATCTATTGTTGGTTGTTGGTTGATTAAACCCACCACACCAACTTTCATTCTTTAATTTATATCATATATATATACATAATCAAGTCGTGTAATAGTTAGGTGGAGATATGTGATGACTCCACTAACTTCTAATGATATTTTTTTTATTATTTTAATCTTTGATCTTAATTAAAAATTAATTAAAGATAATGACACGTAATTTATGAAACTAACTTTTAAAATTAATTAGTCAAAATGTGCAATAACATCTTCTCTAAATAAATGCTCGGAGCGGGTTTCCTCTAAATAAATGCTCGGAGCTCCGAATTACTCGATACATGGCTCGAATGGAATCGTGCCAAAAAGGTCTACACATACCGACTCGTTTCTCGGTAAAACGAAGTGACACGCGACCTTGCGGGGCCCACGTAAACGGCTTTTTTATTTATTTTACTAATATGCACACTCAAACATCGAGTTTCTCAATTAAATGCTCGAGACCTCGAAATGCGAAATAAACGCATCTACCGGCTTCTCCTCTTCTCGTGCTTTCTCGAAAGCACTCTCGCTAATGTTCGGCCCGCCTAACGAGGGCCGACGGGGTTCCCGAAGTCGCCGCATGAAAATAGGCTTGGATATTAGTGATATGATGGAGAAAAAAATAGCTGTTGTCCCTTCTTTTCGGTGGAAAATTTACTTCGAAGAGCTACTATTATGGCTCTCTTCTCTGGTGATAGCGATGAGGACTACTGCTGAACGAGAAGAAAACTCGAACAAAGGCCCGCCTACTACTTCTCGAACAAGACTGACAGGCTAGGAGTTGAGCTCCTTGTCTCTGGCCCACTACCATGAAGGACACCATGAAAGAAGGGAAAAGCCCATATGAAGCCCAAATGGGGTTCCATCCCAAAATCAATTGGTGGAAGGAGGAGTAGCCCATTAGTCTTATAAGGTGGGTCTATTTTTCATATATGAATGATGTGGGACAACTCACAAGTGATATTCTAACACGCCCCCTCACTTGTGAGTCCTTCGAAAGCCCAAGCCCAACTGGGCTGAGTGCCCCAAGCCCTACTACAAACAGGCTCCCATAAACGGGTACGTGGGGGATAAACAATGGGTACGTCATCACACGGTCCAAGATAGAACCGGCTCTAATACCATGACAGAAACTGGGGGAAAATGGGTGCTGGCCCACTACCATGAAGGACACCATGAAAGAAGGGAAAAGCCCATATGAAGCCCAAATAGGGTTCATCCCAAAACTAATTGGTGGAAGGAGGAGTAGCCCATTAGTCTTATAAGGTGGGTCTATTTTCCATATATGAACGATGTGGGACAACTCACAAGTGATATTCTAACAGCCGTCTGAGGAAGATGACAAGTTTGATGCTGCTCGTTGGACAAAGAGAAGGCTGCCGGCGAATAAACACAAGCAGGGAACTTCGCCGGAAATGTGCTTGTTCGGAAATTCGCCGGTTATGGCTGTGCACGGCGAGAAGATAGGCGGAGGGAAAAATATTCTGGAATATGGTTGAAGGGTTGATTAATGATGAGAGACTGCTTGCTGATGGAAAATGGAAGAAGATAGAGATTTTTGTTTGAGAAATATGGAAACTCGGTTTTTTTTTTCGATATTGCAAGAAGAAGAAGATGAATATATATAAACTCATACATATCCTTATAACACTTGAAAAAAGAAATGAACTAAAGCATACATTGAATATATATAATATATATTTAATCTTAGTAGTGGCGTGAAAATCTCGAATAACAGATATCTGGCCACTATCAGATTTAAGATGAAAAAAACTACACACCTGCTGATGCCGTCACTAGAGAAAACGATATTGGCAAAATTATATAAAAAAAATTCTAGCCTTCACTCTTAAAATAGTAGTGGCGTGCGCGGAATCCAAATTTCTAAAGAGTTAGCTTAAAATAACGGAGTGCTGACGAGAATCAATTTAGCTGAAATAAGACATTGACTTTATTTGATCTGAAGTGTACATCTATATATATATATAGGGTCGTGCTCCAGTGAGAATGATGCTTAATGAAAGAAATAAGAATACATCGTAGCCATTAGATCTCATGATCCAACGCCTTATAAAAATACCAAAATATACCTTCATTAAGGAAATTAAAGTAATTTTCACACTACAATTAAACAGGTGACCCCACTCCACATTAACATATCTCCAACCTAACCCCACAACCCGACAACCCCACCCACCCCTCTTATCTCTCTCCCCGTCACTTCTCTCTCTCTCTCCCATTTACACATATTTCTTCACTACAGACACACACAGTCGCCCGTATACTGGCTGTCCTCCTCCTCGGGCGGCGGCGCCGCCGTTGTCCTACAGTCCAACCTTTCGTCCCCGCCGCCGTCAAGTCTTATGTCGACGATGTCACGCCGGAAAGCCGTCCGCCCCACCATATTCCCTTCCGTATGGCCGTGCCTTCTTATTCCCCCGGTTGGCCACCCTACAGCGTCGCGCCGCCGCATACGTTGACGAACTGTCGGATCCCGACACCGACGTCCAGAAAAAAGTAAAGCTTCGATCGGAAAACTCACGCCGCCCGTACTTCCGATCACCCCGCATAGAGCCGCCGCGACCTTTGGAGAACCCCGCCACCAACGATCGCAGCCGCTTCATACGATGTCTTACGATCGGAGCACGTCGCCGACGTCCTAAAAAAAACTGAAGCTTCGCTGGAAAACTCACGTCCGAACGGCAGACGACACTCCCGCCGAAAAATACACAAACACACACAACGACCAAAAGACGACAATTGTTTGACCGTGAGAAACATTGGGGAAGGCCCACTCGCCGGAAAAACGACTTGAAATCAATTTAGGGATTGGGTTATTTTTTTGAGAATTTGATAATGTGTAAGGACTTATTGGAAATTTTAAAATTTTTTATGATATTTCAATTTCACTCTTAGGCTAAATCTGAAATTTTTATAAAGTTGATTAAAAATATTATTTTTTATTTTGGAAAATGAATATAAGAATTCGTGATTTAAATGTTTTTTTTTTCTTTTACGCCAGTAGTTTGAGGATGCAATTTCTCGCCGACATAACGTAAAGTTTGAAGATGGATTTTTGTTACAGCGATTTGAATATCCACCGACAGTTGGAGATAATATAAAAAGGAAATTTGAAAATTTGTGGACTATTGAAATGGGTTAGGTAAGAGATTGGGTCCACCTTTGGGGAAGGCATTTAATGGAGTATTGTCTTGAGATATGTGTTATTAATATTAAAATTCAATTACAAATAGGGACAACAACACAATAGTAAAAAGTCTACTTAACATAGAAGTAAGTAGTACAAGTTATATGTGCAGTTGGCTTGGTCAAAAGTCCAAACTATCAAAATCTTGGTTTTGCAACTTGAATGGGTAAAGGGGTTTATTAGATTTCTTCATTTAAATCTCAACCCTTGTAGAAATTTCATGTGGTAGATGTAGCAATTTTGTTTTCCATTGTTAGAAAGATGAAATATATAGGGTAGAAAGTTTAAATGTATGACAGACCGCACGTCAGCGACTAAAAATATTGCACATTAATGTTAGACATATTGCACATTAATGTGTGTCAGACTGCATATTAGCGATCAAAACTGAAATAACTATAATTTTTCTGTTTGTTAGTATATATTCGATTATTTTTAAAATTTAAGTTATTTTGACTTTGTTAATTTCAACTGAAATAAAGTAATTTTGATAATTTTAAAATTTATATATTTTGATAATTTCGACAAAAAAATGAAAGAGCCGAACTATATGAAAAATATTATTATTATGATTTATATATTTTCTATGTATTGCGAGCGTACATTATAATTGTATGAATTCCCTGTTAATAACTATATGATTGCACAATATTAAAAATAACCCAATTAAAATTTTTGGTTCGAAATTTTATATTTTAGTTCAATTATTATTTTTCTACTTATAAAAACTTTGTAATGCACTTTATATAACAACACGTTGCACTTTTCATAACACCACGTTGCACATTACAAAACAACATGCTGCACTTTATCGTAATATACTTTATAAATCAACACGTTGCACTTTATATAACAACACGTTGCACATTACAAAACAACACGCTGCACTTTATCGTAATACACTTTATAAATCGACACGTTGCACTTTATATAACAACACGTTGCACATTACAAAACAACATGTTGCACTTTATCACCACTACCAGGTTGTACAAAAGAGATCGAAACCGACCGGACACATTTTTTTAACAACTAATAATATAAAAATAATTAATAAATTATTAACATATAAAATATAATTTTAATATAAATAAAAAATAATTTCGATAATGTAGAATAATTCGGGTAACCGGACCGAATAAACAAATAATTATTATTTTTTTAATTATGTACATAATCAATTCGATTTGGGACAAAAGTTCGATTGATCAATCTACACAATACAGGCCGTCATCATGCACCATAATGTTGGACGGATTGCACTTTATTGACTGTTAGATAGCACATTATATTTCGTTTACATAATATATTATTTTATAATCAAATTAGAAGTATATTATTCTTTAATCAAATTAGACGTAATATGAAATATTAAATACTAAACATGATTTTATAATAAATAATATAATTTATTTCAATTAATTTAAAAAAAATGCAATTTTGAAAAAAAAATAAATAACATAATTTAGTTTGATCGGTTTTTTTTTCCAAATGTTCGACAATATTAGATCAATATTGACATTCCAATCGGTCAGTTTAGTTTGATCAACCGATGAAAAACCTAAACAAAGTGAGACTTTAATTAATTTATGAACTTTTGAATGTGTAGGAATCCCGAAAAAAATGCTTTCGTAAAAATATGACTTTTTTTTAATGTGTACGTTCTCACATAATAATGTGCAATTGATGTAACTTTATTTTATATTAATTAGACTTTTATTATATTACAGATTTGCCTCAAGTGTTAAATTGTAATAAAAGAAACTTAAAGAAATTACAATTAAGCCCTTAAAACATATCAAATTTTCAAATAAAAACCCCACAACTCCCAAACACAATTTCTGCAGGCCACCCACGTCACCTCCGTCGGAGCTCACCCCCCGATGTTCCAGTCGTCGTCGATATGGTCACCCGCCGAAAGAATTGATGTAACTAGTACTCGTCCCGTGCATTTGCACCGAGAAGAATAATTAAAAAAAAAACAATATAAAAAGAAAAAACAAAATTACATAATCCTAATTTAATTAATTAGTGAGTAGTGATACTCCAAATTTCCACGAGACACTGCGTGCAAAATCCTCCCCCGAACTGTGGGTCCCACCCCAATTCCCCAAAAATGATAAAGCAAAAGCCCAATTATTTATGCATTTCAACAATAAAATAATATCTAATTTATCTACAAACGATAAATATGCAGCGCGTGGCTCACAAATTCAACACAAGCTCGCACTCCTCTCCTATCATCATCACTCTTGCCATCCGAAGCAGAAATCTCAAGGACGTCTTCATCGCCACAGCTCGCCTATAGGACCTCTACGACTTCAGTTGCGCAATTAAAAAAAAAAAAAGGAAAATCTGCCATTTTCTCCTCACAGAGCTTCGCCGCCTTCGCGCAGGGTAGGGGAAGAATGTGGTGGCGACCGACTGCGCGGTGGTGGCGATGGCGGATTCGACGACGGACTAGCGATTTTCGGTTGCCGGTGAAATTTGGGGTTTAATTCGTCGGCTCCAAAATTGGAGCGATTTCTGATTTGCGTGGTGCAACCACAAGCGGCGAAGATGAGGCGGTATTCCGGCAGGGTCCAGCGACGGGATCGACGTTGTATTGTGAGTTCGGCGGCAACGAGAATGCTAATGAAGAAGTCCGACAACAGCTGGAAGGATGATGGTGGAGTCCGACGGCGGCGGAATGTCTGACGAGGAAGTCCGTTGGCGGCGGGAAGACTGTTGAGGATGTCCGGCGGTGACGGAAGAGCTGATGAGAACAGCCGGCGGCCGGGGGTTGTCACTGTGTGTGTGGATGGGTTGAGTGCGTGTGTGTGTTGGCTTGTTTTGTGTGTGCGTGAGAGAGAGAAAAAGAGATGGAAAAGTGTGATGAGAGAAAAAAATATGGTTAATTGGTGTGTGGGTCCCATATAATACAATATATGTGTATTGACCAATTTATCCTTAATTATTGGTCAAATGCACATATTTGACCACATTATGATCAAATAATTACCAGTTTGCCATTAATGATTTACCATAATTTGACTTCATCATCACCATTGATATGGTTAATCCCATGGTCCAAGTTCATTCTTATTTCTCGCATTATGATTCATTCTCATATGATCCATTCTATATATATATATATATATATAGGGGATGGATCCAATGAGACCACTCCTTAAAATGAGTACGTGAGACTCAATCTTAGCCACTCATTTTGTCTAGATCAAAATCAATTAAAATATACATTAATTAAATAATAAAATAATTATTAGTTGACTTCCGGCGTTGACCGTTGACTTCCGGCGTTGACTTCCGGCGAGAATCGTTGACTTCCGGCGTTGACCGTTGACTTCCGGCGTTGACCGTTGACTTCCGACGTTGACCCGTTGCATTGAAATAAATAACCTAGCAACAAAAGATACTCAACCTTGAGTGGTGTAGTGGTTGCATTGCTTGTCTTGCTTCCATGAGGTACCAGGTTCAAATCCTATGGGCTACAATTTTTTTATAAAATAAAAATACAACTAACTTAGCACCATCAGACAACTAACCTAGCAACAAAACACAACTAACTTAGCAGCATCAGACAACTAACCTAGCAACAAAACATGACTAACCTAGCAGCAAGAAAGAAAAGAAATAACCTAGCAACAAAAGACAACTAACCTAGCAGGACAACTAACCTAGCAACAAAACATGACTAACCTAGCAGGACAACTAACCTAGCAACAAAATAATAACTAACCTTGCAACAAAATAACCTAGCAACAAAAGACAACTAACCTTGCAACAAAATAACCTAACAACAAAAGACAACTAACCTAGCAGCAAGAAAGAACTAACCTAGCAACAAAATAACCTAGCAACAAAAGACAACTAAACTAGCAGCGAGAAAGAAATAATCTAGCAACAAAAGACAACTAACCTAGCAGCAAGAAAGAACTAACCTAGCAACAAAATAACCTAGCAACAAAAGACAACTAAACTAGCAGCGAGAAAGAAATAATCTAGCAACAAAAGACAACTAACCTAGCAGCAAGAAAGAACTAACCTAGCAACACAAGACAACTAACCTAGCAGCAAGAAAGAACTAACCTAGCAAATAAAAACAACTAACCTAGCAGCGAGAAAGAAATAATCTAGCAACAAAAGACAACTAAACTAGCAGCGAGAAAGAAATAATCTAGCAACAAAAGACAACTAACTTAGCAGCAAGAAAGAACTAACCTAGCAACACAAGACAACTAACGTAGCAAGAAAGAAATAACATAACAAAAGACAAATGGTCAACGGTCAACGTCAGAAGTCAACGCCGGAAGTCAACGGTCAACGTCGGAAGTCAACATTTGATCACCGGAAGTCAACGGTCAACGCCGGAAATCAACGGTCAACGCCGCAGTCAATGGTCAATGGTCTTAATAATATTTAAATAATTAAAAATAAAGAGTTAAATAATAAAAATAAAGAATTA